TTAATGATTCTCTCTCATCATTGATGTTTCTCTCTCCCTCTCCTTTCCTCTCTGAAATCAATAAAAATCTTTTTTTAATTAAAAAAGTTGCACACAAAAGGTTACAGCACCATTATTTATTCATAATAGCCAAAAAGTGGAAATAACCCAAATGCCCATCAACAACCCAAATGAACAAATTGTAGAATATTCAAACAATGGACTATTATTCAGCAATAAAAAGAAATTAAGTACTGATATAGGCTACAACATGGATGAAATTTGAAAATAATATCTCGAGTAAAAGAAGCTAGTCACAAAATATCACATATTGCATAATTCCATTTATATAAAACTAGAGGCTCAGTGCACAAAAATTTGTGCACTCAGGGGTCCCTCAGCCCAGCCTGTGCCCTCTTGCAGTCTGGGACTCCTCGAGGGATGACTACTTGCTGGCTTAGGCCCGCTCCCCGGGGGATTGGGGCTAAGCTGGCAATCAGACATCCCTCTGGCAGCCCGGGATCCCTCCAGGGATGTCCACTTGCCAGTGAGGAGCAGGCCTAAGCTGCAGTCAGACATCCTTAGTGCTGCTGAGGAGGTGGGAGAGGCTTCCACCACCACCACTGTGCTGGCAGCCGTCAGCCTGGCTTGTGGCTGAGCAGAGCTCCCCCTGTGGGAGCGCACTAACCACCAGGGGGCAGCTCCTGCATTGAGCGTCTGCCCCCTGGTGGTCAGTGTGTGTCATAGTGACCAGTCATTCCCAATCGTTCTGCTGTTAGGGTCAAGCATATTACCCTTTTATTATATAGGATAGAGGCCTGGTACATTGGTGGGGGCCAGCTGGTTTGCCCTGAAGGGTGTCCCGAATCAGGGTGGGGTTCCCGCTGGGGTGCCTGGCCAGCCTGGGTGAGAGGTTGAGGGCCGTTTTCAGGCTGGCCACACCCCCTTCAAGGTGGTGGTCCCCACTGGGGTGCCTGGCCAGCCTGGGTGAGGGGCTGATGGCTGTTTGCAGGCTGGCCACAGCCCCTTCA